GTCGCTGACCTTGCTCGTGTCACGTGGTATTTTGTTTTTGTGAATGTACGTCATCCTCAGCTTCTCCAGAATCCCGGCTTCTTCCAGATAGAGGAGCGTCGTGTTGAGGGCCTGGCTGTAGAAGACGTTCTGTGGGGTGGCTATACACGATGGTCGGATCTCCTCGAAGCCGCTCTGGACGTACGTCCTCACGTCTGGATAGAGGTCTGGAGGGAAATTCTCCAGCGTAGAGTGTTGTATCAGTACGAATGTTTCGGTCAAAACTTTCCTAAAATTGTCAGTTCTAGTCCTGTTTAAGATACTTGGGTCAGTTTTATTTTGCTGCAGAATGCGGTTCCAAATCTGCTTGTGAATGGGATCTTTTGAATACTCCAAGAACGTTTTTAGAGCGTTACTTTGTCGATTGACGCCGATCGTGAAGTCTTTTTTGTTTAGAAGATCCTGTAAGATTTTGATGGTAAGTTCCGGTGTCTTGACCGTGAAGGTGGTGACCAGGTAAGCGGAGTAGGCCGAGCTGAGGATGAACCAGAAGATGGCCCAGGATGTCCGGAGGATCAGGCCGGACTGGACATTGTAGATGCTCTCGGTACGAAAGAAGAAGAGGTCAGCAAGTGTGGTCACTAGACTGAAAAGGAAAATAAAGTTATAAGAAATACTGTTTTAAACATAAAAACAACTCAATGATGTTATGAAGCATTGAAATTGTAAACAAAAAATCTTTTACCTGAAGTTTAGGTTAGCGAACGTCATCGGTTCAGGTGAGTGAAGGAATGACGACATGACGTGGATGATGGCGCCCAGGATTCCAACACCAAGTATGGCACCTGTCAGGTACAGGTAGATGTCAGGCTTGAAGATGTTGATGTAGGTCAGGTCAAGGTGATCTTTCTCTGCTGGAAGTCTGTAAAAAAATAAGTCGAGCTCATCACGTAATTATATCAAGTTTAAAAAAAAAACATCAAAAGCTTTTCACGTAAGTAAGAAAAGACTTGGAAAACCGCAATAAGATTTTGATCAGACATCACTGTAAATCATCATTACCAATAAAGAGCTGTGTCTGCGAACAAAACCACATCCTTCTTTCTAAAGGCTAAATCCTTAAAAGCAAATGGCGATGAGGAGGACACATACCCAGGATGCCGATAGCCAAAGCTTCTACGTGGCAAAAGAGATAGAGCTGCATATAAAAATATAGAATTTTTTTGTATTGTGTATAGAAAAATAAGTTGGTTAAAGTATTAGCCCATGATAAAGTGGCTTGAAATTAGTCTTTCGGCGGTGTACTGTATTTTATGGATAGCTACACCATCAAAAAAGTATGTACAATTGTATTATATTGAAGATCCCTTTCTTGACTATATCTGTGAAATTGAAAACGATAAAATTTCATATCTCTAAAGGACAACTACTGAGACTTTGATTTACCTGTAGGTAATCTTGACTTCCTCAAACAAGGTGGGCAATGAGCTGAAGGTGATGCGGGTCCTACGGTTCTCATCTCTGCTGATCGGTAGAGTAGTCAGGGCTGTTTCTTTATTGGCCAGACTCCCTGTTGGAATACAGTGAAAGCTCTAGAAGAATACAGAGAAAGAGCTAGAGAAATACAGTCAAAACACAATTAAAGGTCTAGAGGAACACAGAGTAAGATGTAGAGGAATACAGTGAAAGATCTAGAAGAATACAGTGAAAGATCTAGAGGAAAACAGAGAAAGATCTAAAGGAATACAGAAAAAAATGTAGAGGAACACAGAAATATCAAGAAGAATACTAGACGTTGCACAGGAATACAGAGAAAGATCTAGAGGAAGACAGTTTGTACGGAAATAAGACAGAATAGAGCTACACTTAAGGATTAAAAATTTGGATAGATCGCAGCTCTCTAATCTCAAAGCTACTGGGTTGATTTATAGGTTCTTATGTGTAATATACACATTGTTCAAGTTATGGGCCTAAGAAAATACACACACAAAACAGATAAAATGAAAATTGAAAGGAAGAAGAAACTAAAGATGATGGTACTGCACTGATTAGTACACATTAAATGTTGTGTTGGTGCTGACGGTGGTAAATGGGAGAAGATAAAACAGGCAAACAAAATGTGTTACGATAATGGCATGTAGGTCTATATACTACGTATTTGAATATATAATTCTACATTTCTGCAAATTGATTGTATAAAGTTTTTCAGCTCTTAACATAATAAACTTGAAAGACCTAACTATCAAATATTTTATTTTTTCAAATAATTTCTACCTGTAACTCCCGTGACCTGCCCATTGTCCAGCACAGAGCCATAGTAGTTGCCATCGTTAACGATGACCAGACGGTACTCGAACCCCAAACGCTCAGCTATCGTGTCGAGCAATGCGATGCTGTAACCGTCATACACCGTTTTGTTGTTGACAATTTTGTTGTTCATAAGTTCGTCATTTTCATCCGTAATGGCCACCGGAAGTGTCATACCTGACAACACAGACTTCTTTATTAATAAATACAGGTACGCCATTGGACGCAAACTGGTATGATTGCTGAAGTACGTTAATTTAAATATAAATTGATTAATTTCGGCTAAATGCAAATTGTTGTTGTTTTTCGTGAAAAGGTCATTGCTTTTCGCAAATCCTTGTTGACCCATCGCGATCGTCTGCAGGGGCTCAGTCCGTGATTTCTGGCCAATTAAAAACTGTCCTGATTCAGAATAGACCAGAATGGTTGCAAAATCAATTTCAAAATTCGTCATGTTTTTCATCTGGTTTAAAAAATCCTCGGACCTACTGACAAATGTCCAGTCAGTTGTGTGTAGCAAGGAAGTCCATTTGTAGATGGCGTCTGTAGAAAGTATGTCTACAATGTTAGTCAGAAAAGAAACTTCGGTTGCCATGACAACCACTGTTTGAAAATCCCAGTTATCAGATAGAGTCAAAATTGTTCGGTTAATTTCAGCAATACTCGAATTTTCCGGAAACTCACGGTAGGTCATTCTGGTCAGTTTATCAACAGACATGACCGCCTTCTCAAAACTGACCAATGTTGACCAAGGTACACCCTGTAGCAGAACTAGCACGCTGTTCTGCGAGACACCGTCCCCCTGATACTGACCATTGGAGTCTTGGTTCTGTCGTAGATACACATGTCCAGCAGCTGTGGTCAGCTCCGACCAAATTGTGTCCGGACTCTTCTCACTCAGTGGGCTAGAAATCAGAGCACTTGCGTCATGGATAGTCAAGGACCAGGCTATGCAAGAAATCACAGAAATAAAGATGAACATTTTTTAAACGTATCGAAAAACGTTCAGAAAAAAATAGTTAAGTGGTTGCCACAAGGCTACATGTTTCGGAAAAATTTCCGAAAACAGCAGAAAAAATTAGAACCTCTCGGAACATTTGATTTTAACAAATTGCATCCTCGCATACACATTTATAATGATCTGCAAGAGAACTGAAGTTACATAAGTTAGTAATATAATCCTATACTTGCCCCATATTTTAAAAATTGAATCAAGTTGTTTTAAACTTCACACACAAGATAAAAAATACCGCCACCCAATTAAGAATCCATTATCTATCGACAGAAAAAAAATATTTGTCAACAAATACTTAAACCTGATGATTATTGCAACATCAAAGACCAAGTACATTTACAAAATCCATTACAAATGCTTTTAGCTAGCTCGATATTCAAGCGCCGACACAACGCTTGTGTTTTGTCGGTGTCTAGCCTGAATATTTGTGTGAGTGGATGGGATGCATGATTGTTAACGAATAAATAAGGTCAACGTTTCTTTAATAATTGTACGTAAAGTATTATTAGCAGATAATTTTTCAGTCAACTCTTCGCCCCCCCCCCTTTCCGAATAAAGTTAGGAAAAAATTTATATAGACAATATACTTTTACCAGCCCCCCCCCCCCCATATGATGCGCCTTCATCGAAAGTTTCAAGTGCCCCCCTCCCCCCCCATCCAACATCACCGAGAAAATTGTTTAACGAAACACATATTAGAACTTGTAAAGTAATTGGGTACCTACTGATGGGCCGATTAATACATATCCAAATCGGCGCTCAAATGCGGTCCTTTTGGTCTCTCAGGCGTAGCAGGCATCATCAAGCGCCAGTTTTTCTTCCAGACTTTTTTCTACGGGGGGGGGGGGGGGGAGGGGGGGTGGGGGGAGGCGGAGCCCCGCCGAAGAGATGCCTGAAAGAAACTCTGCCAAGCGCTATGACGAAAAATAGTATGGGGATAGAAGGAGAGGAAAACAAAACATTAAGATGTAACGTCGATTAATGGAGATCATGACTAAAACGATTTCATGCTGCACATAACAATGAAAGATTATGTCCATTGGTCAAACATTTATTAAGTTAGTGTAAGGTACTGCTGTTTTAAAGAAGACGGTGACTTTTTTGTTTATTTTTTTAATTATATTAGAATCATGTGTGTATAGACGAGCAAGTATATGATATATTGTTCACAGTCCTTCTCAGTTTAATTAGTATCTGGCAAATAAAAAATATCATAAAATATGATCACACAATAAACAAATCATTGCGCGTTTAGTACTGTAAGAACCCTAAAATATCGCCATACACACCATATCGATACTCAGACTTTGCCGCTTACTTAAACTATTCGACCTTATTCGAATATTGAACTAGCTAAAAGCATTTTTAATGGATTTAAAATGGATATTGTATCTGATACTGTAGCGATAAGCCTGTATTTAATATGGAATAACAAAACAGTCAGGCCATTGTTTGATGTTACACATTGCGTTATCATAGTTTTATTTGGTGTGAACAGTGTTGAATACATCATAACCAGACTTTTCCAGACAATGCCATGATATAAAAATAGCTCATTTCAAATTCGATGATTATAAAGTTTATAAAAAGTGTTAATATGAAGTGGAAAACATAGAAAGATTTATATAAATTTTCGTATTTTTTTGGAAAGTGTTGCCTTGTTTTCGACATCTTTTTTTTTAATTTTTACTAATACGCCATGAATATCGCCACCAAATTCAGTGTTTTTACAGTTTTTCCTGAGATTGTCTCCATTGCGCAGTCCACAAATAAGGCAGTGACGCTCATTTCTAGCCCACTGAGTGAGAAGAGTCCGGACACAATTTGGTCGGAGCTGACCACAGCTGCTGGACATGTGTATCTACGACAGAGCCAAGACTCCAATGGTCAGTATCAGGGTGACGGTGTCTCTCAGAACAGCGTGCTAGTTCTTCTACAGGGGGTACCTTGGTCGACATTGGTCAGTTTTGAGAAGGCGGTCGTGTCTGTTGATAAACTGACAAGAATTACCTACCGCGAGTTTCCAGAAAATTCGACCATTGCTGAAATTAACCGAATTTTGTTGACTTTTTCTGATAACTGGGATTTTCATACAGTGGTTGTCATGGCAACCAATGTGTCATTTCTAACAATAATTGTCGAACACGTCTCCACTGACACCATCTACAAATGGACTTCGTTACTACACACTACTGAGTGGACATTGGTCAGTACGTCCGAAGAGTTTTTACGCCAAATGACCAGCATGATTTATTGTGCAATCGATTTCGCTACAGTGCTTGTAACTACAAACTCAGGAACGTTCTCGATTGGTCAGAAATCTCGGACTGCACCGATGCATAGGGTTGCCACTGGTCAGCTGGAATCTACGCATGACCGTGACCTTTACACTGGAGGCAAAGTCAGTTTTCAATTACCTGAAGTAAGTGAATTAACATTTAATGTGCTGTATTTCAACACGGTCACCTGTTTACGTCAAACGGCGCACCTGTATTTGAAAACGAGGACATCTTTGCTGGCAGATATGACACTTCCAGTCGCCATTACGGATGATAATGACGACATTATAAGCAGTCGAGTCGTAAACAATAAAACTATATACAGCGGCTACAGCATAGCGTTGGTGGACACGTTAGCTAAGAGTCTGGGGTTCGAGTACCGTCTAGTCTTGATCAAAGATGGCAACAATTATGGCTCGGTGCTGGACAATGGAGAGGTCACTGGCGTTACAGGTAGAAATTATTTACAATAGGAAATTTTTTGACAGCTGAGAAAAATGTGTACTTTTGATGCTGAATATTCGCTTATTACGGTAGGAATGTATTTAAAAAAAAAGAAGCTATGTGCAGAAATGCAGAGTCAACTTTTAAACATCTACACCGCATTATAGCACACATGATTTGTGTCTTCAATGACCACATACCCACCTCCACGTCGAAAAAAAAGTCCATTCGTTTTTTTTTTTGGGATAATCAACATCTAACATAATTCATTACCCCATTTAGTTAAAGTAATATTTTTTCTCTGTTTTTTTTTTAATTTATTTCATAAGCATACAAAATTGTTTAGTTCTAGAAAATAGTTATTTAACAAAATAAAATCGAATATCTCAAATACATTTATATATCCATGAATTCTAATACACCATTATTTAAACAATAGTAACACTATCAAATACTAAAACCAGTTGGTACGTTTGTAAAAGTGCAATTAAAAGCGGTTTAATGTTTGGACCTTGTTCTTAATTGTCGTATTGACGGGATTACTCTTTACACGCTACAACTTGTCATTATGAAATGCTCCAGCAGCCCTCTATTCCAGCCGGTTAAAAGATTAATTTTTTTAATATTTTAAATTTTTTTTTTTTTTTTTTTTGATTTGCTTTAATAGACTTTGTCTACCAAAAACAATCTGGAGGAAAGTAGTTGTCTTCTCTATTTGATAGGTAGCAGTTCCCAACTAACGAGCCTAATAAGACCGAGGGTTCGGTCTCTGGGCTTTTGGAGTTAGCAATCATACGCTCAGCCACTCGACCACGCTGATCATTGCTTTTATGAAATTAGACAGTTATGTATTGCTTTTCTCCGCTGCTGTTTGGGGGGTGTTGAAAACAACAAGATTTTTGTTTTAAAAGTAATATATTTCTTTACTGCCGGACCATTTCTTTTTCCAATAGGGAGTCTGGCCAGAAGAGAGACAGCACTGACTACGCTACCGATGAGCAGGAACGAAAACCGTAGGACCCGCATCAATTTCAGTTCCTTGCCTATCATGTTTGAGGACGTCCAGATTACATACAGGTAAATGGAGCGACGTGGTTTTGTTTGATGTCAATGCTCTTCGTCGGTAGTGATATTTGTCTGGCAGATTTGAAAAATAATTTTTCTAATAAATCTGTCGATAAACTTTTGAAAGCAATTCTCATAATTCCGATTCATAAAGTATTTTTTGTTTTGTAAATTACATAATAGTTGTAGTAATTTATTACAAAGAGCTCCATCTATTTCTTTTCAGACTTCCAGAAGAGAAAGATCACCTTGACCTGACCTACATCAACATCTTCAAGCCTGACATCTACCTGTACCTGACAGGTGCAATACTTGGTGTTGGAATCCTGGGCGCCATCATCCACCTCATATCGTCATGCCTTCAATCACCCGAACCGATGACGTTCGATAACTTAAACTTCAGGTAAAAGATTGTTTTGTTTTATTTTATAATGCTTACATAACGCATTAAGTATTTTTACAAGCCGATTAGTGTTTTTTATTCTTTAACGAATAAAAAAAAATTTCTTCTTGATTTTTCTATTCTTAGTTCACTGACCACACTTACTGACCTCTTCTTCTTTCGCACCGAGAGCATCCGCAATGTCCAGTCCGGCCTGATTATCTGGACATCCTGGGCCATCTTCTGTTTCATCCTAAATGCAGCTTACTCTGCTAATCTGGTCACCACCTTCACGGTCAAGACACCGGAACTGACCATCAAGACCTTACAGGATCTTCTCAACCAGAAAGAATTCACCATCGGGATAAACCAACACGGCAACGCTCTTCAAACTTTCCTAATGTCTTCACAAGATCCCATTCACAAGCAGATCTGGAAACGCATTCTGCAGCAAACGAAAACGAACCCAAGATTCCTCAACATGAGCATAGATGACCACAAAAAGAAATTATTGACTGAAAAATACGCTTGGATACACCATACTGCACTAGTAATCTTTCCCCATGAGACGTACCCAGACGTGAGGACGTACGTCCAGAGCGGCTTCGAGGAGATCCGACCATCGTGTATAGCCACTCCACAGAACGTCTTCTACAGCCAGGCCCTCAACACGACGCTCCTCTATCTGGAAGAAGCCGGGATTCTGGAGAAGCTGAGGATGACGTACATTCACAAAAACAAAACACCACGTGTCACGAGCAAGGTCAGCGACAACCAAGCCGTGACCTTGCATAGGATTGAACTTCCGGTTTATTGTGTGATGGCGGGTATTGGCTTTGCTGCATTGATTTTAATTTTTGAGGTCATACTGTTTCAATATCGGAAGCGGAAATGCCCATAAACCCCGCAGAAACTAACTGTAGAAAATAAACAAACGCATGGATACCCAACTACTAATTAATTAAAATACATTCTCCAAAACCTAAGATAAAAGACACAGCTAAATGTTGGTCCACCTGCTTTTATGGTAAATCCATTTAACTTCACAAACAAATAAATATATTTAAACAAGTTAAACTACGGTTATTATTTTATTTTATGGATATCAAAGCCTTACATTTGTTTCTTCTTCTATAGATTGTCTCATGTTTCATTATTTCTTTATTTTCCTGCAATGTATTTTTGAAATTGTATCACTACGAGCTTTTATTTAACTCACATCCTCTGTCTGACTGTCAAGATCGAAACGCCCGAGCGAAATTTTGGGCACTTCTAACTGATAGATTCGGTTCAAAGCTGGCACGTGGGTCAAGACATAAAGACAATGTTACATGACTTTAAATTTGACTTAATTGGTTGCCTGATTTATTTTTTATTAATTAATTACAATTGTGTCCAAATTAGTAGGCTGTCTCATCAAACTATTCCGCACTATTATACACGCGTCAGCGCGTTCATTAGGTGCGCAATGGTTTTTAGTCATGCAACTCTATTGTAAATTTAAAAAATTTAAAGTACTGAAAAAAATTCATAAAAAACTTTTTAATAACAAGCTTTTATGTAATCATGCACTAAAAAGTAGAAAATAAATGAGTTTCTTTAAATATTTAGTAATACACTACTATTTAAATAAATATTTTAATAATGCTACAAACCTTTTTTACTTATCAACATTGAAATCAATTCTCTAAAACAACCTAGTTATCAACTTTATAATAAATACTCCTAAACTTCCTAACTTATACACATTTGTGTAATGTAAATATGACTTCAGTGACCGCACTATACACTCTCACCAACGTCTAAATAAACATTTTAGGAACTACGACTTGTTAAAAATCGTACAGCATTAAGTCAACAAAAAACGTAACCTTAAGATCTTGGTGGTTGTGAAAAAATAATATTAAGTAAAAACTGTATTACTAGATTCGGCCTAATAAAAAATGTACTGACACCTGATAAAAATAATATAACAATCTATGTATTCAATGCTCCAATGTGTTTACTCATAACGTTACATAGTATGACTTATTTTGAATTATCGAATGAATTTTACCAATTATCTGAAACTTTAATCTAGAGCTCACAACGCATAGATATTTCGTGGGAAAACACTTATATTTCCGCGGTGGTTGGAGGGGGTGTCACTGATAAAAGTATATCGTATGTCTTTCAGCGTAAATAATATATTTGTTAATTCGTTTTGTCGACGTACTTCGGGGGTAAACAGCCCCCTCCCCCCTGCGAAGAGACATAGTCCAACATAAACATAATAACACAAGCGGTTCCGACATATAAATTAATACATGGCTTTTTCGCATTAGATGTAGCTGAATGGCCATTATGCAATAATAAACCGGTTCTCAGAAAAATGCGCCATCGGAAAATATGCACAACGGAAAAAAAGCGCAGAAAACAAACTGCGCTTTTACAAACTAATTATGCAAATACACATTAATTTCGAAGAAAAGGTTATTTTGCTACAATTTTCATGTGTTCATTCTTCATTGTCTAAAAATGTTCAATTTAAGAAAACAAAAATCTCCTTGCGCACTATTTTTTGTGCGCAGTTTTCTGTTGCGCAGTTTTCCGTTGCACATCTTTCCGGTCACCTACTAAACCTGATTTTCAAATGTCAAACAAGCTTGAGAACTAGTCGACTTGTAAATGAAAACCTACAAAATAGATTACAATTCTGTATGGTTTTGGTTCCAGACTGATGATAAATAGGGTGACCTGAAAGAAACGCAACGGGAAAAAAGCGCACTTTTCTATGTGCGCATTTTTCTGTGTGCGCAATTTTCTGTTTGCGCTTTTTTCTGTTTGCGCTTTTTTCCGTTGCGCGTTTTTTGCGCTTTTTTTGTTGCGCTTCTGTTTGGTAACCGATAAATAGTAATGTGATTATCTGCTAATCATAAATGATGTAATTCTTCAATAGCACTACATCACCTCCCATTACACAAATACACTTTAATTTCTCAGACTATAAAGATAAGTTAATGGAATGATGTTTGAATGTTGATCTAGCTAAAAGCATTTGTAATGGGTTTTGTAATAATCTTTTTAAATTTAAAAACAAAATATAATGTTTTTGTGAGTTTGATACTGTAATGATTAGCCTGTTTGAGTATTTAATGTTGATCGCAAATAAAACATGTCGGTATTTGTTTGAATTGTGCTAAATTTAGTCTTTTATGCGTCTGTTTGGAATACGTAATGGGTTGCATTCACCATAACCAGATTTAAAATTAATTTATGAAGCAGAAAACGTATCTGTTGCGATTTTATTACTTGAGTATTATATAGTTTCTAATGTTTCGGTGCTAATACAAAATAAAAACTACCCGAAGATTCAATTTAATTGCAGGTGTTTTAGGTTCATGTTCTTAACTATCTTAGAGCTATAGTTGAAACAAGATATGAATTACCACTATAACGTTCATCAACATGTGTTCATCTTTGTTGCTGTGATATTTGCCTTTGTCCGGTCTGTAAATTTTTATGATGCCAGGACGCTGATTTCTAGCCTACCGAGTGAGGAGAGTCCGGAGACAATTTGGTCGGAGCTGACCACAGCTGCTGGACATGTGTATCTACGACAGAGCCAAGACTCCAATGGTCAGTATCAGGGTGACGGTGTCTCTCAGAACAGCGTGCTAGTTCTTCTACAGGGGGTACCTTGGTCGACATTGGTCAGTTTTGAGAAGGCGGTCATGTCTGTTAATAAACTGACCAGAATGACCTACCGTGAGTTTCCAGAAAATTCGACCATAGCTGAAGTTAACCGAACATTGTTGACTTTATCTGATAACTGGGATTTTCAAACAGTCGTTGTCATGGCAACCGATGTGTTGTTTCTAACCAATATTGTAGAACTTGTCTCCACAGACGCCATCTACAAATGGACTTCCTTACTACACACAACTGAGTGGACATTGGTCAGTACGTCCACAGATTTTCTAAATCAAATGACCAGCCTAAATTATTGTGGAATCGATTTCGCTACAGTTTTGATATTTTCGGATTCAAGACAATTTTTGATAGGCCAAAAATCTCGAACTACGCCAATGCAAATTGTTACCAAAATTCATAGAGGGTCTGCGCATGACGGGGACCTATTTATAAACAACCGTGTCTGTTTGCGGCAATCCGCCCACTTGTTTTTAAAAACAAGGAAGTCCGTGTTGTCAGACATGACACTTCCGGTCGCTATTACGGAAGAGAATGACGAGGTTTTGCACAGACAAACTATCAACAACATAACGGTCTATAGCGGCTACACGATGGCCTTGCTGACCACGCTAGCGGAGCAAATGGGGTTCGAGTACCGGTTAGTCATGGTCAACGATGGCTACTCTTATGGCTCTGTACTGGACAATGGACAGGCTACTGGTGTTACAGGTACTGTGAAAAAAAAACATTAATTATATGTAGTGAAATTTGTGATTTATGAGTTTATACTGAGCTACATATTTGTTTTGGAACAAAATAAAACTTAAAAAAATATATATTCAGAAGCATTGCCTCATGCTTTAGTGAAATCTAGACAATATAACAAAGCTTTTTCACCATATTGCAATATTGCTGCTAAAATATTAGTCTTTATAAACCAATATGAATGTTAGGACAGATGAAATAACGTTAACCACTTTCTATGACCTCGGCAAATGTATGTAAAGAGAGGTTGCATTTAGTTGCTGAAAAGTCTAGCAATCTCTTGCGTTCTTTTTATTTATAATACGTGTGTCGGTTGTTATTTTCTTTCTTTTTTCCTTTTTTTGAAGGGGGGGGGATAAAAAGCGATGTTAATACAAGAACATAATACTAATTCGGTATAAGCTGAAATCCTATAGTCTTTGACCATTTCAATCATTCGTAATAATTTTTCGGAGATTAAAAAATTTATACCGATCGGTTGTACAGATCATTTTTAAAACAACCCATTTGTCGGAATTTGAATAGAAGAAAAAAAACTATCAACGATAGGTTTTTACTATAATATTTATAAAACTGCAAATAACTAAATACGTATGAGATTAATCAAATCACGCTTACTAAGAAACTTTGAAAATCAAATGGTTGGAGTTGATGTGTTACGAATGTTAACTAATTTTGAAAGTATCATTTTTGTTATTGATTATCTAGGGTACATTTAAAATTTTTCCATTGTTTATTCGGAAAATGCTTGGGGTAGAAAACTTTCAAACTTACCTAAAAGAAATTTCTATAGAGCAGAATAACATCGGTTATTTCTATTCTCTAAAGGAAGTCTTGCCAGAAGAGAAACAGCACTGACTACGCTACCAATGAGCAGGAACGAAAACCGTAGGACCCGCATCAATTTCAGTTCCATGCCCATCATGTTTGAGGACGTCAAGATAGTATACAGGTAAATATCATCTATATGAGGAAGTCAAGATTACTTATAGGTAAATTGTCATCCAGTATAGAGAAGTCAAAATAGTATACAGGTAAATTGTCATCAAGTATGAGGAAGTCAAGATAGTATACAGGTAAATTGTCATCCAGTATAGGGAAGTCAAAATAGTATACAGGTAAATGACCAACCTCCAAATAGTCAGCCTCTAATATTCAAGTTTTTATCATATTTCACCTTTAATTCTCGAGTCAGTAGAAAAAAGATTATCTATTATCTATAATAATAGTTTCGCTGTCTGTCTATCTATCTATCTATCTATCTATCTATCTATCTATCTGTCTGACAAGAACGCTCTAGAGAAAACACAAGGAAAATAAAAACATGCATAGTAATTCGAAAAACGAAGTATGACGTCGACACATTTAGCGCACAGAGTAGAAAATAATCTCAAGCCGGATAGTGCACACATTGATATGACGTCATTGATTATCGATATTCAATACAAAGGCAATTTGGTCTAA